TCTTTTCCGTCTAGAAAATACCTATTTATCTTTAACAGTTGGACTGGAGTGTGACCCTCTATCTGAAACCTTTCTCTGTTCTCTTTTTTGGGCCCTCAATGTTTTTTACTTACATTGTGCATATAAAATGTATACTATATGTGTGTATATGTATATATAATCTCTCTCTATATATGGATAGGTATATATACTATTTATGTACAGTTTTTTATTGCTACTATTATGCTTAAGGTCATGCTTTCTTATAGTTGTTCAATAAAAAAGAAAGGTGTAAAATAACAGCAAAAAATTAAATATTGGAATTTTAAGATTAAAAATTATTTTTAAAATAACCAAAAGGATTAATATTTAAAATATGCTAATATATTAAAATTGAAGGAAACAAAAGTAAATTAAAATGAGTAATTTGTAACATGAAATATATATGAAATCAGAAACAATTAAAATGTTAAACATAAAGCTAATTTGCTTAAATGTAAATATAATAAAACACTTGAAAGTAGAAAATAAACAGTTTAAAATATTTAAAAAGTATGAGCTTGAGAAATTGCATAAAAGAACAAGAGAGTTTATACATGGCCTCCAAACTAGCTAGAGGAATTAAAGAATGCATATTCAAATTTCCCCAGTTCACCCATGCAGATTAATGAGCTGGAGGACCCCTGTTTAAAGACATTTCATTCTTAAAGAAGCCTACTTGAGAAGCCTATTTATTTGGCATAATTTATAATTAAGAAAATGGGGAGAAAAACCCCACCTATTCTCTTTTCTTAGCTCTCTTCATAGAAAAAGATACTTTCATTGTCCCCGCAGCCTCCCTTTTAGAATAGTTGTGGTTGGTGACAAAAATGGCTGACATGTCTTTAACCTTCAACTGATTAAATAGTTTCCTCCCAAGGCTCCTGCTCAGGTAAAGTCAAATGGGATGAGCTTGGGCTCAAAAAAGATGTGCCAGGTATAACAGTCACATCGAATGACTGAGCTTCTCTAATAGCCATCAGAAACAGGATTTATTTTTTGCTCTACCATCTCGTCTATCAGAAGTGGGACTTCATTTTTCCTTGGCTTATGATTACTTCTCAGAGGAGATGGGTTCTAATTATAGTTGACCTGATTTTACCTTGCTGGAGGCAACAGTGTTTAAATCACACAAAAACCAAAGATTTCTTTCATGGCAGGTCTTATTGATTATTGACCATTTATCTCAGATACATTTATCTGAAACAATACTCAGAGCTATTTTACTCACAACACTTCTGACACCAGTTGTATGAGGTTTTTTCTCCACTCAACAACTGACTCTTTGATTCTTCAGGGGCCAACTGGATGTCATACAATTTAGTTCAATTCTGATTCTAACTACTTGGATTTAGTGCAGACCCACAGGTTAAGGACTCAGTCATACAAGACTGCCCCCACTTCAGAACCCCAGATTTCCATCTGAATTTCTGACCAACAAACTATGTAATTTGGAGGTTCCCATAACCTCTTCCTCAGATTTGACAATTTGCTAGAATGGCTTAGAAAAATGCTTTGCTTACTATGTCCAGTTTAGTCTAAAGGGGACACCCCAGGAACAACCCAGTGGAAGAGATGCGTAGTGCAAGGTCTGGGGGAAGGAGCAGGAAGTGCTCATATCCTTTCTGGGCAAGCCTCCCTGAACCTCCGTTTGGTCGCCAACCTGGAAGTACTCCAAACTCTGTTGTTTAGGGTTTGTTTGTTTGTTTGTTTTTAACAGAGCTTCCATTACATAGTCATCACTCTTTGAATTTTTAGAATGGGTGATTGAACTCAGTCTCCAGCCCCTGCACCCTCCACAGAAGCCTGGGGGTGGTGCTGAAAGTTACTGCCTTCTAATCATACTGTTGCTTCCTCTGATAGCTAACTGCCATCCTGAAGCTGTCTCGGAGCCCACCAAGAATCATCTTATAAAGCATAAACTCTGATATGGTTGAAAGGGACTTACTATGCTTTCCTTATAATAACAAAAGATGCTTCTATTACTCAGGAAAGTCCAAGAGTTTTAGAAGCTCTGAGTCAGGAATTGGGGGCAAAAACAAAATGCAGTGGGTGTCCATGGGTTCCATATCCCTGGCTTCAACCAACTGCAGATTGAAAATAATTGAAAAAAAATGTGTTGTACTGAATATGTACAGACTTTTTTCCTTGTTATTCCTATACAATATAACAACTGTTTACAGAGCATTTATATTATATTAGGTATTTTAAGTAATGTAGAGATGAGTTAATATATTCAGGATGATGTGCATAGGTTATATGCAAATAGGGCACCATTCTGTATCAGGAACTTGAGCATCCTTGGATCTTCATATCCTAGGAAGTTCCTGGAATCAGTCTCCCACAGATACCGAGGGATGACTGTGTATATTTCTTACTGTGTCACAAATAACTTCTCAAGTAGAATCTTCTCACAATCACTCTTAATCTACTTTTCCTAAAAGTGAAATAAAAATAAACCACTGTTCTTAGGAAATTGCCCATACACAAATTGATACTTGTTTCCCTTTCTTAATCTCCAAATTGAAATAATCAGAAACAGACCTTTAAGAAAATGTGTGTAGCTTCATATTAAGATCAGGAAAAATGTAAGTATAATAGATTTTTTAAAGAATAATTTATTAAAATAGTTGAAAGAATCTAAAATGAGAATAAAAGTAAAAAGTTGCAGAAGAATGTAGATTAATTATTTAATGTAAGTCAGAAGGATTAAAAGAAAAGAAAAAATATAGAAAATAGAATAAAATAACTTTAAACAACTATGAATAAGAAAAGTTAAAAGTTAACAAGAAAAAAGAAAAAAATAGAGAAACTCTTGAGAAAGAATATAAATCAGAATGAATGTTTATAGTAGTAGAAACAAAAGTAAAGCATTTAAAACTAAAATATTAAAAATAAATCTCCAGTAAAGTAAAACACAAGCTCACACATCTACCACAGGAAAAAAATAGAAGTGTGTATTTCTAACAAAGTCCTCTGGGTTCATTTCCAAATCCTGAGATCCTTGATGAGAAAAAGAATCAAGGGACAGAGAATTGAATTCTTGTTCCTCTTCTTGGCGTGAGGCTACCTGCTTGAGTATTCTTTATTAACCTATGAAGGTGAGAAACAAACTTCAGCAGACAACCACAGGTGATTGGCCAGTGCACTAGTGAGCCCTACACACACACACACACACACACACACACACACACACACACACACACAGGAACAAAAAAGCAGCGAACAGATTCGTGTTTGTTTATGTATGTATGTATGTATGTATGTATGTATATATGTATGTATGTATGTTGGAGTGTCACTCTGTCACCCAGGCTGCAGTCAGTGTCATGATCATAGTTCACCACAGCCTCGACCTGCTAGGCTCAAGCGATCCTTCTGCGTCAGCCTCCCAAGTAGCTGGAACTACAGGCATGAGCCACGATGCCTGACTAATTTTTTGATTTGTTGTAGAGACGAGGTCTCACCATTTTGCCTTGGCTGGTCTCGAACTCTTGGGCTCAGGCAATCCTCTCACCTCTGCCTTCCAAAGAGATTTTAGGGCTGAACCACCTTACCCAACCAGATTCATTTTTAAATCAACCTTCATCATTTATTTTATTAGAGTTATTTGGCTACTATTAGCATTCTATACTCTTTGAATGTAGAGCTCTTACCTTTTATTTTTTAAGAGTAAATATTTCAGTCAGAAGTATAGCAGATATTTAAATGACTAGAAAGGATGAATTGTATTTGCATATTATTTCTATATCGCTGAAAGATTGTTGTAAATGAATTCAGCACCATGGTGTTAGGGGACTAGAAGAAGAAACTTAGGAACCAATAGATTATTATCAAGGTAAAGGTACTTATTCCCCAAGTGGCAAATTCTACCTATTCTAGCTTTTATTATCCTTAGGATAGTGTTCTATTTATTTCATAAGTGCAGAAGTTTTAATTGGGTATGTCATGTTTCAAAGACAAAAGAAATGCCTAATTCTCTCTAACAAACTTGTTAGTCACTGTTTATACCAAGAGGATTTCTACTCTACAGAGAATAATATTGTTTTCTTTTTCCTTTGTTGATAAATCAAAGTTTTACACTGACCTACAGCAGCAAAGCATACTTTAAAGCAAAATCATCACAGGGTAACACAGATATGTATCCTTTTAGCTTTATGAATTATATTTGTCCCTATATTCCTTAGGAAATATAATTTAATAAGAAAGTGTTAGTTAAATTTGTCATAGTAATTTATCAGATAAGAAAAAGGTTATTTATATGTTTTGATTTTAATGATATTTTGATTTTAATTATATTAACTGAAATTTTATGATTTTTTTTCTTAAAAGCTAAATCATTTGCAGATTTTTGCTTGTTTGAAAAGGCTGTGGTCAGATGTATAGCTAGTGTATGAATGACTTGTAAAAATAACCTCATTTATATACCTGGCTTTCTATTTGTTATGAAGTCACAATTTTTCTAGAAAAGTGATTTTTATGGATTACCCTGTCTAGTGCATGCTCTTTCACTTGAAGAAAAAGGTAGTGGTAGGGGGTATTACAGTTTCAGTCCACCCTAATTCTGTTACTGTTTGCTTTGTTCAGCAATCACTCTGATCCTCCTGGCAGGGAACAAGATCCAGAGAACAAAACTAGTAGTGACTGTAGATAAAAAGGCAATGAATTCTGCTTTTAAGGCAAAGGGGGAATAGTCTACAAAGGATTGAAAATAAGAATAAAAGTATAGGATTGTTAACCTGCAGCTCTATTGTACTTTTGAAAATCTTAACACTGCAGAAAAAAATTGTGACACTATGAAGATACATAATTATATGAAAATTTTGAAAAAGGTCACCATTTAGTTACTGGTCAAATACTTGACAAGAAAATAGCCTAGATTATTCATAATTGAAAAACTATGGAACCCTTTCCCTTAAAATGACAGGACAACTTTTCAGCAGTACATGAGGTACCATAATATATTATTTATTCTCTACCAGAACAACTCTTTAGATACGGTGAAGGTGATGAGGTCAAGAAGAGTACTCCAGAGAAGAATGGGAAAGAAATGTTGGAGCAGACATTACAGAAGGTAGTCTCATCTTTAAGATATTGAGCTGAGCAAGTTAAATCTGAATTTTAACATAAAAGATTATGTTTTAAAATGAGGGCTCATGAACTTAAACCTTGTGTGAATCCTTAATTTAAATTTATAATTCAAAAGCATTGGCTTGCCAAAGTGGGGTAAAAAAAAATCAATGTTAGTGAAATAAATGTATAAACACTTATGCTTCTTTTGACATAGATTAAAAATATTTTCAAAGATGAAATAGAGAGAATGAAAATAATAAAAATTATAAAAATGTAGCCTATATGTGCTTGTTAGTTATATCTTAGCAGTTTAAGTTTAAAATGGGGTATAGTGAGACTCTGTGCTACACTTCAACAAATATAGAGATTTATGGTATTTAAAAAACTGAGCATATAGTTTTACCACAGTAAAATGGTAATATGTTTATAATTTTAATCTTATATTTTAAAAATGCATATGAATCATCTCATTAGATAAAAATTTACACCAATATGATTTACTATTGCTTCTCTGTGCTTTAATAAGACCATCTATATAAGCTCTGTAGTCACAATACAGTATACCTGTTAATAATAAAATACTATTTTAAAATCTTAACATTGATCTTTACAATTTTAAACTTAATTTGTATTATGTGGACTCAATTATATTAACACTTTTTGTTACTGTTATAAAGAAAATGCTCTTTAAATAGTTTAATCTTGTAAGTGATTTTCATTTGGTTACATTGGATTGTTTTTTTAATACAAATATTTAATAGTTAGCCAGAGCCAAAAATGCACAAATATCTAAGCAAAAATATTACTATAACTACTTAGATTTGCATCTGTAAATTGACTTGTAGGAATTCTAGTGATTTACAGCAGATGACGTGATTCCTTTTACATCTAACACTTGCCATATGGTCAGGTAAAAAAGGCTGTCATCTCATTATTACTGAATGACACACATCAGGTTAACATAATAACACGGAGAATAAGAAATGCTCACGTTCATTTATCTTATGGTAAAATGAGTAATTGAAATCTATGCACTACCAACTAGGATGTCACATATTTTATACTAGTTTATCATCTTTGTTTCAAAACAATATTTTTGTTTGCTGGATTTTGTATACTTTTTATTTATATGGATGTTTAATACTATGCTACTATTTACTGCCTTGGGGTAGAAACTCTAAAGAAAGCCATTATTTTATTCCAACTGCCATAAATGACTACTACCATAGTCGATCCAGAAATCCATTTTAAGACCTGAAATCCAAAGTGAATTATTTTCATTGGACCATATGTCACATTAGCATGCAAATTTGTCACTATTTATTATAATAACCTAATGCAGTTGTTTCAGTCGTGATTTAATTCCTGGTGGTTGAATTTCCTTATTTTAAAATGATGCATATGGAACTCAAAATGGATTTAAAAGATATTAATAGGATGAAAACAATATTTGTATACAGTAGAAATGAAACATATAAACAAATTATTTTTAAAATAATGTGTTAACATTTCACACTGTAATTGGTTGAATTGTGTCCCCCATCCCCCAAATTTTTGTTAGAATCCTTATCTGTGGTATCTCAGAATGTGACTGTAAGTGGGGATAGGGTCCTTAAAGTGGTAATTAAGTTAAGCTCTAATTCAATGTAGGCTCTAATTCAGTGTAATGGGTGTCCTTATAAGAAAAGGAAATAAGGACACCGATAGAACAAAAGGAAAGCCATATGAAGATACAGGGAAAAGACTGCCATTTATAAGCCGAAGAGACAGATCTCAGAAGAAACCAACCCTGCTGACAGCTTGATCTTGGACTTCTAGATTCCAGAACTAGGAGATAAAATAAATTTCTGTTGTGTAAGTCACCTACTCCGTGGTACTTTGTTATGGCAGCCCTAGCAAGCTAATATACATACTTCATAATGTCAAGTGTTTCTGTGTCAATTTTGAAAAGAGCCATCTCTTTGGTAAATTATTTTAAATGTTCAGTACTGAAAGAAATTTCAGACTTGGACTGACTTATAACACACACACCAAATACCTTTAACAGTTCCCCAGACTTTCGTTCTCAAATATATGTTAAAATTTACTCTTCTATTTTTGGAGGCTTAGAATCAGCAGAATAATTTTTTGAGAGTATACCTTTCATAGCCCTTTAATAAAAGTGCTGTGGACATTCCCTTTTCAAAATCTTTAGGAATAGTGTCTCTGTTTTGTTATTTGACCTCCATTTGAATCTTAAACACAAATGATTTTGACCAGTTTTTTTGATTAAACATAGAGTTACATTAGGCTGTTTAACAGACAGTTCAAAACTACAGATATTTTCAATTGATATCCTTTTTTCCTCACCCATTTTAAGGGTTACAGTTCATACGCCTGTAATAAAAGGCAGGTTAACAAAAGGAAAGCCTAGCATTTATTTAGTCAAAGTTTTATGTGGCATGGAGGCTTCAGAAACAAAGGCCCAAAGACCCAGGGAAAACTGTGTGTTTACATGCTTAAATTCGATAAAGAATGGATAGCAGTGGCATAGAAATGTGTTTGGACAAAAGGGCGTGCTCTAATGGTAATAAACTGAGAGGACAAACCAGCAAGGCCTGTCTGCTCAGATTCTTCTTTGCCTTTCTCTGCAGCATTCCTCCTCTCAGGGTATGGGGCAGGACCCCTCTGCAATGAGGGTTTTCAAGGGAGAGCAGAGAAGGGAGACAGTGACCTTTCTAGGTTTATGGCTAGCTTTGGAGGGGAGGAGTTCTAGTTCCTATGACCCATCATGGCAAAGAGGAATTCTGTTTTCTATGACTCCATTCATGGGAGGAAAAGGAGTGGGAGACAGGAGGGCAGGAGAAGATCTTGCTTCTGAAGCCTTTCAGTGTCCTGTAATTCAAAGCACTCAGCCTGCCAAGGTGCCATACCTTAGGGTGTTGTGTTCTGAGCCCAAACGTATGTAAAATTTTCATGAATTGTCTCCAAGCTCAGATGAATTTTAGTCAAATTAAAAGAATACTAATATCCAGAGTTGAAATTCAAATTGCATGTGTTTGTAATATCTTATTTTAATTCAAAGTTTAAGTTGATTTAATGGCCAATTCAGAATATATAGCCCGAGTAATTATGTTTTAGTTCAAGTAATTTCATTAGGTAGATGTTAAGATTAATAATAATAGAAACAATAATGGTGATAATTATAATAAATTGTTTAGGATTTACTGTCAGTCAGGAATTATGGCTCATGATTACATTTAATAGTCACAACAGACCTCCCAGGTAGAAATTACTGTCTTCATTTCACAGGTAAGGAAACCAAAGGTAAAATAGTTTAAATATTTTATCTGCTGAAGCAATGAGAGCTGGAAGTGAGATACAGACTTGATTCAAAATTTTATTATTCTAAACCACAAAGTTTCTCATTAATATTTTTTAGAGGCAACCCCTTCGGGTCCCTTTCCACCATGGGAGCTTTTCAGTCCTCAATAAATTCTGCTTTCTCACTGAAAAAAAAATTTTTTTATACCACCACCGTCAAAGTCACTTTTTTACAAGTATAATTGCTTATCTGTATAAAATACAAACTGGAGGGGATACAAAAAACTCCAGAATTATCTTTTGGAGTATGGGTCCCTTGTAGTACATTCAGAAATTGTTCCTCTAGATCAAACAGTCAACTAAAGTTTTTATCTGTAAGTTTTGAGAAGAAAATTTGCAGAAGAAACACCCTGAGTTTTGGCAAACAGGTGACTGGTTCTTCCACCATGACAACACACCTGCTCATACTGCTCTGAGGGTTCAGCAGTTTTTGACCAAAAATGGCATGACCGCTATTTACCACCCTCTATTCACCTGATCGGACCCCAAGTGACTTTTTTGTTTGTTTGTTTCATTGGATTAAAAAAGTCTTCAAAGGGAAATGTTTTGCTGAAATGGAAAAGGTAAAACAAAAAATGGCAGAAGCACTGAAAGGCATCAAAATAGATGAGTTCAAAACTTTTGAGTGGTGGAGAAAGCATTTTGATGGGTATATTGCATCTTGATGAATATATTGCATCAAATGGAGAGTACATTGAAGAGGACAGAAATCTAAGAGGACAGAAATCTAAGCATGTTAGAACAAATACACTGGTTGTTTTGGCCTCCCCCATCGAATATTAGAAAATAGAGTATATTCTACTCACTCCACTCTGGAATCTAACATGCTAAAGTATTTTAAAATATATTTATGAAAAGATTTCTGCAGTGACTAAAAATCCACTGAGGAAAACTGAAGAGCATATAAAGAGGTGATATTTCATATTTGTCTGTAGCATATTTGACTAAATAGAGAATTAAATTTGGAGTTAGAGCGATTTGAAAAAAGGATTCAGCTAGTGTTTGCTTTTTTGAATACTGTATTTTTTGGTCACATTAGCCAGCTCTCCAATAAAGTATTTGCACTGAGAAGGAACAATAGAATCTCTTTCACAGAAATACACAGGGGTCTACAATTAGTCTGGTACAAAATTTTTCAGATACCTTTCCTCCAGGTCAAGAGTAGATCCTATCAGGTCATAAATCCAATAGGAGGAGAGTATATCATACTGTGGAATTGAAGTCATTAAAATTAGGTGAGCTGCTGCTTCTTGTGTTGAGAAATATTCATGTCCCAGTATAGTGTAGCCAATCAGTAAATGACTGTTAATTAAAAGAAAAGAGTTGAACTCACAAGAAAAATCAAGAGTAAAGAAGGATATGTAAATCAGACATGAGTGAAGCTCATGTTAAGGAAAAAGCTTACATCGTCACCATCGTAAGTAAAGTTCAGTAGACTGGAAAGTGTTAAGAATATGTATACATTTTATCTTGTGTATTTCTGGAACATTATTATTTCAAATTATTGATTGCTGTCTTAGTCTCTTCAGGATGACATAGAAAACCCTAAAAAACTGAGAGGTTTATAAACAGCAGAAATATATTTCTCATAGTTCTGGAGTCTGGGAAGTCCAAGATCAGGGTGCCCACAGACTCAGTGACTGGTGAGGGCCTGCTTTCTGGTTCATAAATGGGACTTCTGGCTGTATTTTCCTTTTTTTTTTGAATTGGAGTCTCACTCTCTTGCCCAGACTGGAGTGCAGTGGCTGCTCCTGGCCACCGCAGCCTCGACCTGCTGGGCTCTGGCGATCCTTCCGCCTCAGCCTTCCAAGTAGCTGGAACTACAGGCACGCGCTACCACACCCAGCTAATTTTTTATTTATTGTAGAGATGAGGTCTCGCCAGGTTGCCCAGGTGGGTCTCGAACCTGCGGGCTCAGGCAATCCACTCACCTAAGCCTCCCAAAGGCGCGGGATTACAGGCTGAGCCACCGAACGTGGCTTTATTTTCACATGGTGGAAGGAGCTAGCTAGCATTCTAGGGTCTCTTTATAAGGGCACTAATCCCATTCCGGAGGGCTTTGTCCTCAAGCTCTAATTGACCCCTAAATGCTTCGTCTTCTGATGCTAACACATTGGTGATTTAGGTTTTAACATATTAATTTTGATGGGACAAAAACGTTCAGACCGTTGCAGTTGCCAATACATTAAAAAATGTTTCTCCTTTGAATGATTTTGTTTTCAAAGTAAATGAGTTCATATATTTTTCCAGTCATTTAGATTTTTTCCTTGTAGCCTGTTTTTTCTTGACTCCAATGCTTTGTTCATTTTTTATATGTGTCTAAGTAGCTCTTCTTTCTCATATGACTTGTGGAAGGGGCACAAAATCCTGAACTGGAATCCCAGTTCAATCCAGAATCTCTCTTTTCTATTCTGGAGAGATATTTATTGGTTCTGTATACCTCTTGTTCTTGAGATGATCAGAAGAAATAATGTTTATGAAACTATTTTGTAAATAATGAGATGAACTTTACAAACAATAGTACTTGATACTTATTTTTAAGATCTAAACTTTTTTTTAGATTTAAATATAATCTCTTCCATGAAATTTTTGAACTCATGAATTAGAAATAATTATTCTTTCCTTTATGCTCAGACTTATGACACATAGATCATATGCTTTGCTAAATGGTTTATGTATGTCAATGTCTGTCTTTTCAGATAGTTTTTGAAATTCATTAAGATCAGGAACTGTATGTTACCATTGCTATGTCCTACAACATGAACATTATTTATTGAAATAAACAGCAAAGGTTTAATTTATATGAAATCTTGAAATCCTTGTAATTCGAAATTGTTAGACTTTATTATTTATTTTTTTTTTGGTCAAATGTTCCTTGATTGTATAAACTTTAAGAACCACATTACTACTAAAATTATATTTTTCTAATTTAGACAAAAAGCAGCCTCAGTGGTATATTATTTTGTAGTGTCATCACTTTTTCATGTGATTGCGTAATATCGAAGAAAAATGTTATTTATTAATACAGTTCCCCTGTGTACCTGCTTTTAGACTTTTTGTGTAAGTTGTTTTTCTCTGAAATGTATTTTCACGATGGATAGAAATATAACTAAAGCACTCAGAAAATTGCAGTTTATTAGCATACTTAGTTCTATGTCACTTTGTGAAGAATTGTAACTTACCATCTGTCCTTTATTTAACAGATGCATTATTGCATTTTTAAATGTATTCATCTACACCTCCTTAGAATTATTTAGAAATTAAGAACTTTAGATTTATTTTATTCTTACACTAAATATAGTTTTCTCATAAATTAGAAATCATAGTAAAATACAACAGATTATGGTTTGGGATTTTTAAAAGAATAAATTAAACTCTTCCCTTTAGGTCATTGAGTTGGAAAATCGGCTAAAATCTTTTGAGAAAAGGTCAAGAAAATTAAAAGAAGGGAATAAAAAATTAATGAAGGAAAATGATTTCCTGAAATCCCTCTTAAAACAGCAGCAAGAAGATGCAGAAACCAGAGAAAAAGAGCTGCAAAAGCTACTATGCAGGGGGAGTAAAGTTGTAGAAAAAGACAAAACTGAACTTCAAGTAAAAATCAGTGAGCTGGAGAGAGAAGTCGCTTCCCTAAGGAGACAAGTGGCAGAAGCTAATGTATTGAGAAATGAAAATGAAGAGCTGATGAACCCAGTGGAGAAATCGCACCATTCAGCAGACAAAACTCAATCTGAGATGGCCTCAGCAAAAGTGAGATCTGGCCAATATGATTGTAAGACAACCACTACCAATGTTAAATTTAAAACCGTCAAGAAAAAGTGTTGTGTGGGCCGTCACCACACTGTTCTCAATCACTCCATCAAGGTTATGAGCAATGTGTTTGAGAACCTCAGCAAGGACGGCTGGGAGGATGTGAGTGAAAGCAGGTAAGGCTCTCATTAACTTAGCTCTGTGGTGGGGACACTGTGCATATGCAAAGCACTGGCAAATGGAGATTGAATTTCAACTACTGTCGATTTGGTATTCAGAAAAAATACTGTCAGATCCTTTGAAATATCTTGGGAGGTCTTGTTCTGAGCTTATTGACTGAAATTTGCATGCAAAATTAGCCACAACTGCATGAGTATTTGAATAGGTGCCAGGAAACCCAAAAGAAGGCAATGCTTGATTTCTTCCAGTGATGCTATTTTCATGCAGTCATGAGGCTTGAAATTGACAGTTTGGCAGGTTGATTTAATTTGCTGGCCCTTTGCATATTCACCACTGACAGCTAAGGATTCCCAGGCAAGCCTACTAAGTCGGTTTAGTTATCTTGTGACATGTCAACCTGGGAGGAGAAACATTTTCCCCCCTTAATTTAGTTAGATAAATTTTGAATGACCCATTTCAGCTTGTTACCAGATGTCTACAAGCTGTTTAACATCCTTTAAATTAAGAACCATCTTCACTAATTATTTCATGTATGCATTATGCAAAGTCATTGTACTAACTTTAATTGAATGGTGGTTAAAAATTAGTTCTTTAAAGTTATAGCTCTACAGATTCCTAGTCTTAAGTCATACACCCCTAGTGAATAGCAACAGGAGAATACTAAAAATCTATAAGATTTCTTTCTCTTACCCCTGGCTGTACATTCATATATGCACTTGAAGCACATCAGTAAAACCACAAAGGCAAATGGATGATAGCGCACCACCTCTTTTTTATACTAGACAATAGAAGTTTAATGTTGCCAAAATTGCTAACAAATTGTCCAATTTGCTCATAGTTCTTAAAATTCTCCCTTGTTTTATAATGACATATTTCCTTTTATTTTCTCTAGGTATCTTAATTTGTTGTGTTTTTAAATCCCTAATAGTGGTTTCTGTTTTAGATTTGGGATGCCGCTGAATAATTTTCTTAATCACAGACATAGAACTGAAAATTGTCTTAAAACATAGTTCTCAAACTTGTTTGCATATTAGAATCACCTGGTGGTTTTATAAAAGTCCAAAAACTAAAGCCATACCCCAGACCAATTAAATTATAACTTTTGCGGTAGGATACAGGGTTAAGTATTTTTTGAAGCTTCTCAGTGGAATCCAATGTGCAGACAAGTTTGAGAAGTACTGTTTTAAATTACCATCAGGTCAAACCCCTTGTCTTCAAGTAGTTAGGACTCAAAAAACAAATTTATGAAGGTTAGACTGAAGGACCAAATCTGCATTCCTGTTTCCAAGTTGCCCAGGTTCTTCTTTCTTACTCTCAAAAGCAATTAGAGATAAAAGCCTTAACTTAAAACTCACTAAGCATTTATCTGTATCTTCAAAGAAATTCTAGTTTCAACTACTAATTACATCTCAGCCACTTGGTACTACCACACTATTCATAATATAGTGGTACAGTTTACTTATGTGCAAGTATGTAGTATATATGTGTGAATAAATATGTGAAAGTTACTAGTGCATGTGTGCAAGGTCACATATTTTGGGAGACGTATCATACACTATCTCTTAACATATGGGATTTTCAATTAAGTTACTTAGCAGTGAAACTCGACTTTACATGATGATAAGTGTTACATTTCCTGCCTGCCAGAATGCTCTCAGGAATCACTCAGCTGCAAAGAATTCTCAAACAATTAAAAATCATGCAGGAGACTTCAAAGACTTCAGATAATTCTAATTTTTTTTTAGCTTTTCTTAGTTTGTTGTATAAGAAAGTTACTTGTACAAGGAGGGACCCGCCCCAAAAAAGGAATTTATTTATTAAAAATTGTGTATTCTTACATGTTTAAACTTGAGACACCTTCAGAGTACTCTCTATTTGCTGCAGTACACCTATTGAGATGCTTTTTTCACTGCTCAAAACAGTATTTGAACTCTCAATTTTGATTCCTTTGAATGTTTCTGCTGTTTTTCATTTCATCTCTTCCACATCAGCAAAACATTTCCCTTTAAGGACATTTTTCATCTGGGTAAACAAAACAAAGTCACTTGGGGCAAGAATGGGCGAGGAAGGAGGGTGGGGCACAGGGGTCATGCCATTTTTGGAGAGAAACTGCTGAACACACAGTTCGATGTGGGCAGGGTTGCTTATAAATCACCTGTCAGGAAATGGGTAAACATGTTGAAAGCATCACCAAAAAAAAAACTAAACACAGCCTCTCACAACAATGCTAGCTGGTACACTGATGCTGAAGGACTCCTAGAACACTGATCTAGCAGGGCAAGCCTGTGCCACCTACAAGGAGCCTACCCTCCCAATATAATTCCATTTTTCGGGGGGCCCCATAGATTAAGAAAACGTAGCATATATAAAATATCATATTGTATAATTATCACCTTGTTAATATTTACTTCCCATAGTTGAATGGTATTAACAAAGCCACACCCATTCACTGATGGCTATAATCAGAAGTTTTTTATACCTTCAAAAAGGAAAAGTTTTCTTAGCAAATTAAAGAAAGAAAAATGAAAAGCAGAGAAGTAAAATTTTATTAAGTAGATTGTAAAGGGTGACAGAATATGTCATCCCAAAATATGCTACTCTGGCGTAAGGATTATTTTGAGCTGAAGGCAATTGAGAAAAAGCAGACAGAAGAAAAGCAGTCTGCCCTCCCCCTAAAAGTAGGACATAAATTTACAAAAGTAGTACTCCTTCCTTCTCTACCCAGAAGAGACAAAAGCTAATCACTGGAGACAACTTTAGACCTTAATCACTCAAGGGATGGTGCCAGAGTAATCTACACAGCAAATTTTATTAACTAGCCTTCATCTACCATTAGTTTCCCATGTATTTGCCTTCCTACAGTTTGTTGCCCCTTGAGACTCAAGGTCTTTTTCCTTTGTCTTGTCACTTTAAAAATTTATCTTCCTTTGTTGAGGATGTTGGATGCACTGGAGTTCTGTCACCTCTTTAAATTACTTCCAGGTAGCCCCACGTGTTACAAGTGTGATATACATGTTAATAAACGTGTTTGCTTTTTTCTTGCTAATCTGTCTTTGTTACAAGGGTCTCAGCTGAGATCTTAGAAAGGTAGAGGGAAAATCACTTTCTTTCCATCACTACAATTATAGTGTTTACTTCCTTTTTCTCTTATCATTTCATTTGTTCTTCAGTGCCTGGTCACATTACCCAAATACATTGTAAACGCTCATGATCCTATGTCTTTATCCTGTCTAACTTCGTGTTTCTCTCTACCAGTGCATTTTATTCTATTTGAAACTATTTTAAAAGACACTAATAATTTCTGCCTTTTCCTTTTACTTTTGCTTCAGGAATATTATGCCATTTTGACCCTTTTAAAATTTTCAGCCTGAGTCCTAAGGCCTTTCTATCTTTCTTCCATTTTTATTTATAAAGCAGTATATTCACTCACATTACTGTTACTGAGCAAAAGGAGCTTGCTGTCTGGTGTGCTGGAAGCCAACACTATGACATGGAGTTTTTGAGAACATAAAAGCTTTGTATTGAAAGTTGACCTACGAGGGATATGAGTCAAACCAAATCTGTCTGCCTGCGCTGGCTTTCAGGCAATTATTTTTAATCAGAAAAGGCCAAGGGGGTGGGGGATTCTGAAATGAATAGGTGTTGGTGGAGGGAAAGGGGATGTCTGGAGAGTCCTCTGGCATGCGTAGTTGTCTCTTGATCCCTTTCCTTGGGTTCCATGTGCACATTTGTGGTGAGTTAGTATGGCACATTCCATGGAAATTCAGGCTGTGATATCAGCAAGCTCGTTCTGTACAAACTCTACTTGACCATATTGATTTTTGCCTATCTTAGCTTGTTTTGTTACCTTATAGCAAGGGGAGTTTCAGTGTTTCAGCAAGTTATTTTCTTATCTGTCATCCTACAAACTAAAGAATTTTGTTAGTTTGTTGTTTATTTAACTCTTTGAGGCACAGTTTCATTACCACCTTTTGTAAACAGATGATACCAGCTGATGGGATTCAGGACACGCTGCCCCAAAATATAGCTGGAGGAATTTGAGAAATGGCAGGTGCTGGAAGGAGTCTCTAACCTTCTTTCCTGAAGCAGGTTATAAGATCCTCACATGACTGCTGCCTTCTTTATACAGAGGAAAAGAGTATCCTTATCTCCAAGCCTTGCTAAGTATTCCCCGGTTTACTACACTTAGCTCATACCCTTTGTCCTATCATATTTTTCCATGACTTTCCACATTTGTCAAACCTAGTGCTAAAAACACTGAGGTTTAACTATTTCTTTGGGCCCTCATTTCCTTATGAAGTCTCTCTTGTCATGTCAATAAACGTGTTTTCATTAAGTAAATTTATATACTTTCCTTTTGCTAATGTCTTTTTCTTTTACAGAGTCTCAGCCAAGAGTATAAGATGGGTAAAGGAAAAGTTTTCTTTTCTTTCCTCTGCAACACAACTCTGCCATTATTTAGAGTACATCTTCAGGATTAGAAACATGGAATCAGAGGCCAAACTGCCTTTTTTCAAATCTGACTCTAGCATCTTCTAGCTGTGTGACTGTAGAAGTGCTTGCTATTATTACAATTAATCATTTTATTTGGTAATCCACAACTCCTCCCACCCCATACCCAGGATATTTATATGTGTGTGAATTGTGTTTATTTATTTATTTATTCATTCATTCCAAAGTATGGTCAAGAATGCTAAAAAATTCTGCAGTGAAAACAATGAAACATTTGTTTTCCACAAATTACCAGTCAAGATCTTTTTCAGGCCTACATTTTGTTGCTGTTTATAGATTCTACAAATGAATGTCCCATGAATATCTCTCAATAAATTTATTTCAGCTAAAGTAATTTGTTACTTGACCTGATTTTAATTCTGCCCAGAATTCTACAGTGGAGTTAATGGAACCATTATTTTTATGATTGCAACATTTTTTAATCTTGAAAAATTTTATACTGTTTTTTTAAATGACCTAGTCTTTCATTTGACCCTCATTGAAA